ACTACACACACACACACACACACACACACACACACACACACAAAATTAAAATGAAATTATTAGGTGCTTAAAATTCTATCTCGCCAAATATTTGTTATTACGTTATATCGTTGATTGTTTAATAATATATTCTTTACAGATTAGAATTAGAACTAGGTATTAAGAAGCATGGAAAGGATTCTACTGATATAATTGCAGAATATACTACTAACTTCAATCCTAATATTGTCGCATATCCATCTTCTCCTTCACAACAGCAACAACAGATGATATATAGACAGCAACCTACAGTTGTACAAGTATTTGTCATTTTGGAATATAATGTTTTTTATTATTTATAGAAACATAATTTACATTATATCATTCTCTGTGTTTTTTAAGGTTGGTAATGTCTTACAAGTAGTCCCTGCCGATTTCAATGGTGCACAATTGATGCATCGAGAAGTACCTGCTGCAATAGTAACTCCGCCCGTACGATCTGGATCCAGTCAAGTAGTTCGGGTAGGTAACGTTCTTCAAGTAGTACCTACATCGTTAGATTGGAGTAACAACGGCAATGACGGCAGCAACGGTGACGATGGTAGTGGTGGTAATAATAGTAGTAATAGTGGTGGCAACGGCAGCGGTAGCGGTGGCGGCAGCAGCAACAATGGTCAGTCATCATCAACTACAGAGCAGTTAAATGGAATTTTATATTCTTCAACAGTCCCAGCAACTTCGCCTTCGACGTCTTCGATTTCTATGTCTGTACCCATTCCCGTCCCAGTTCCATTACCAGTACCACCTACCTTATCCGCAACGAGTACTCTCGCTCCTATCACGACTATATCACCTGCTGCTCCACTGCCATTGTCATTGCCAGTACCTGTTCCTGTGCCAATTCCAATCCCATCCATAACCACAGCGTTTTCGAGGAACGAGATTCAGCCACAAAGTATGTATATCCTGTTGCTCTTGCCATGTGAAGAATTTATGACTTAATAAATAAATATTTTCACATTGCAGAAATAGTTCAACCTGTGTATAATTACGAAGCTATACTTGAAACACGCCGTAAGGAACGAGAAGAACGTAAACGATTACGTGAGTTACGCAGAAAAGAGAAAGAACGTAGGAAAATAGAACGGGTTAATCGACGAGCTCTACGATTATTGGAAAAAAACAAAATATCCCGACAAACAAGTGGGCTTTTGTTAGATCACTACAAGGACTCAGTTATGGATCCATCAGTTTTGAAAGCATTGAAAGAGGGTGAAGAAGTTGAAACTGGATCTCCATTAATTAATTCCATAAAAAAGGAAGAGGCAATGTCTATTAAAGAAGATGATGAAGATGTCGCTATGGATGAAGAAGAAGATGATGATGAAGACGAGATTGAGGCTGAAGCAGAAGATGATGAAGAAGAAGAAGAAGAAGCAGAAGATGAAGATGAAGATGATGATGATGAAAAACAGTTACAAATTAATCAACGGATTGAAGTTGACGAAATAGCAACCATTGATATAAATAAGGATCACACAGAAATCAAAACTAAGAAAGATTGGCCGAAATCATCATTTCTACCATTAAAAAGCATTTTAGTTATACCAGGATTTAGGTTTGTCTATTATTAATTTAAATATTATTTCTATATAAGAGTTTTCTATATTAAAATTTTTCATAGAATTGATAGTTATTAAGAATTTTTAGCAAATCATAATAATTTTATAATCTTATTTAAAAAGATTTGCAAAAATTATTTTATTATTTTATTATTTTATTCTATTAAAATCCAATATGCTATATTCATCTTGTATCATACATTATGAATGGACAAATGGATGATTCTTTTTAGAAAAGACGAGATTTCCAATGGCAATTTGGATGACTTGTTCAATACGGATGATGATACTAAGGATGATAGCAACAAAGATGAAGAAATAAATGAGACTAATGAATTCAATAAAGATGCGGGATCTGCCAAATCTGGTAAATTAAACTTAACAAAATTGAAAATAACGAAAAATAAAAAATCAGTTCAGTTCGCTGATGGTGTAAAACCTGGCGAAGGGACTAGTCCTAGCGGAGGTGAAGGTGACATGCCTTCACCTCCTCCTCCTAAAGCGATAGTTTTTCGTGAAGGATTCAAAGACTTAAGAAGGGACAAATTTTACAACTCTCGAAAAAGTAGAAAACATGATAAGAGAGCAAGACCACCAAAAACAAAAAAGAAAGTCAAGGTATATGATTATTATTTTTTCATCTCATTTAGAAAGGCTATTAAAAAGAAAAAAAACTCAAATTGAAGAAATATTTTTCAGCTATATTTAAAATGTTTTTTTACACTTTTGTAGGTAAAGATAATCAAGTTGAAGAAACCACGTATTACTCCATTGACAGCTATGATGATGGATGATTCTGATGAAATGGATGATCGTTCGCCACCCCCGCCGCCTCCCGGTTCTCCACCACCACCTCATCTCTGGCCTACTTATCTCTCAATCTATAATACAACCGTTCGAGCAGTCGAACAACCACAAACTGTAACTACTATCTTAACACCTGTCCAAGCTCCTCCACCGCCGACTCCGTTGCCTCTTCTAATTCCGCCTCCTCCATTAAATTATACCATCCAACCTTGCAGTAAATCCTAAATTAACGCTAGCACAGTTTTTGTAAATCTTTTAGAGCAAACAATTTTTTTCTTATAAAAGTAAAGATAATAAAATATCTGTGCACTAAATCATATTGACTATAAGAGTAAAGTAAAAACTGTATATTAATTTTTAGTTTAGATTTCAATAATGATAAAGTTACAAGGATAAAGGCTGTCAAGAATATGTATCAATAATTAATGTTGTAAATATTCTCGCAATATAATCTTTTCCGACCAAGAAATCATGATTTTAATATAATAAATCTTGGCTCATTGCGTCCGTGACTTTAATAATAACTTCAGATTGATAATTTATTTCCTATATTTTCAATATCAAGAATCAATGAATATACAGAATGTTTCTGAATTAACAGTAAAAAGGTGATTTTTTTTTTTTTTTTTAACTAAAAAATAGCATCTCTTTGAAGGACAAGATTCATTCTACTTTTTTTCAAACTTTTATTGACTTATTGCAATTATCTTGAATTATGACAGAAGCTAGAAAACGGAAAATTTTGCAAAACATATTAAAAATATTTTTTGATAAAATGTTTGCAATCGATAAAACAAATCGATGTTTGTAAAATATCTTCTGTTGCTTCGATAATCAATAAATAATTTTATCTGGAATTGTTCTTGTTTAAGTATAATATATTTCTAGATATATAATTATTGATTGACAAGGAAAAGAATTTTCACATATTTTACAAATCTGTTTTGTCAATTGCAAACCGGATTATTTTATCGAAAAATATTTCTATTTAATGTAATTTGCAAGACTTCTCATCAGCTTTTTTGTTTTTAATTCAAAATTCATAATTCAAAATGATTGCAATTATATTATTTTCATATTATTTTTTTATATTTTAATGTCTTTATAATTCGAATCTATTTATTTGATTATATTCAAAATAGTTAAAAAATAAACCCTTTTTTCAATAACTTTTTGTTATTATATAATCAATACATCTTTAAGCTGGAATCATATTAAGTATAATATTTTGCATGGTTAATTTGTATATTACTGTAAATATATGATAAATACTAGACACTTTTGTATATTCGCCGCGGTATGCAAACATCTATATTTTGATACAAAGCATTATTTCGTATTATTATCTCACTCTCTTGCATGCATCAATCAAAAATTTTAAATTATCATGTAATCAAGTAGACAGTATGTTAAAACAAACATGTAAGTATTATATTCGAGCTATAGATGGCACTAAAAAGAAGTAAAAAGAAAGCCAATTAGATAATTGTCATCATTGTAAAATTTTATTAAAAACAATATGGACATATATTGATATTGTTAAATTGATAAGGTTTTCTTTTGCTGCGTATTATCATGCAATTGATCTATTATAATTGCTAACTTCGTTGTGATAATTAATCAAGCAGGATTATCTATCGAGCAATATAGGAAAGCACAAAAATCATGCACCGTGTGACTCCAACTTTAGGCTAAAACTTAAAATTGACCATAAGGAAGAGTTTTATTTATATCACGTTTCCGATAATTCTCAATATGATTGGCCGATTCATTGTTAAAGTATTACTGCTTAGATTTTCCTATGTCTCATTGGTTTCACACTATTTTTCTTGCATTAAAAGCAATCATTATTATCAGCTTGTGATATATATATATATATATATATATAGAAAAACATAAGCGGTACTTTATCAGTAAGTGAGTCAGTCAATTAAGTTGAGAATCATCGAGGACGTAAAATTATTAAAACTACATTTTAATTGCACAATTTATTTCTTACTTAAGTACTTTTACTGTTTGTTTTTTTTTATCATTAATCTATTTCAATAATATATAACCTTCCTTAAGATTTCGATAGTTATAAAAGAAAAGCTGACGTGACAGTTTTTAGGTTTTGTCTTTGATAGTCAGGTGGTATTATGATTTACATTTTGATTTGAAATTATTTTTATTACGTTACAGTGTAAAATAGCAAAATGAAAATAGTTATTGTTGGCGGTGGAGTTGTTGGATTAACAACAGCTAGATTTATACAAATGGGATACTTTCGTAATGCTGATATAACGGTCTTGGCCTCGGATTTTGATGATATTGTCAGTCACGTTGCTGCAGGAATTTTCAGAGTTGGTGCTTCATTTTGCGGTCCAAGTGAGATGATGACAAGGTATACATAAAAAAAAAAGCAAACGACTATAAAAACAATTACAAAGAATCAAAAGCCAAGTTGAAACGTTTATGTAAAATGATAATGTTAATATTAACATTTCAACTTGGCTTTCTATTCTTCTAAACATTATTATTTGTCATTCAATTAATGTTTACATATTTTTATAAAAATCATGAAATAAAAAAATACTAAAATTAATTAATTAGTTGAAAAGAATTTGAAATCGAATTGAAATATTCATGTAATAAAATGGTAACGTTTATATATTTTTATACTCATCTAAATCCATAATTTTATTATTATTTTAATTTTATTAATTCCATCATTAATTTAGAGTTTCATTTGTACGCAGCATATATCAGGTCCATTTGGGATATCATTTATATCTCTTTCGACAATTGATAATTTTCATGTAACTTTTATATTTAAACCTGCAAGAGGAAGAAATGTTGAAATAAATAAATATATTTTTTTCATGAAAAGAAATGAAAAAATTATAAAATTTATCAATTAAATATACGATTATAAAAACAGTTACAAAGAATCTAAAGCCAAGTTGAAATGTTTATATAAATGATAATGTTAATTATTAACATTTCAACTTCCTATTCTTCCGAACTGGTCATTCAATTAATAATTAATTAATTTTAGCATTTTTTTCTCCACTAGTTAAATAATGCTAGCTGTTTTATATTATAAAAATATGTATATGAATATAAATCCAGATAACATCAAATATAAATGTTCATGTAATAAAATAGTAACATTTATATATTTTTGTACTAATCTAAAGCCATAATTTATTAATCTCATCATTAATTTAGAGTTTCATTTGTACACACATATTAGATCCATTTAAGGTATCATTT